CCCCCCCGCCATTTCCTTTTGTGGGAGTTCAGAAGCATGAAATATCCTCTCCCTTAACTATTGTATAAGTATGCTTCAATTTAGCTTGGTTTATAACCACAAAAAAAGTGTCTTAGTGTGTGTGTGTGTGTATATATATATGGGCATCTTCTAGTAGTTCATTAAAGATGCCACATGACTGATTTCAGACAACAGAAACTTAGAGGCTCCTGATGGTTCAAATGATAAAATTTAATGTAATGGTTAAGAAACTAATCAAGCAGGTTGTTCTCCTCTTACTCAATTTTTTCTTCTTTTTGCAGAAAATAGTTGTAATTTTTCACGTATCAGTTCCTTTTTACTCTGAAAGTTCGATCGGGAAGGTGGTTTTCTCTCTCGCGCATGTTGCCTGCTGCTGCCCCTGACGTGGGTCCAAACCTGGTTTGTGCTCATGTGGCAAATTACAAGTCCGACTTAAAACCTGGCTTCTGCGTGCTTTCTCCCTTGCTTTCTCTGGCATTGCTGATTGATGTTGGGTGATAGTTTTCCAAAATTTTCCTTTACTACCCACACCTCTGAAGTTTGCAAGGGGTGAAGAAGTGTATGCCCTGTGAAATGCCTGACAGTTAGAGAAGATCCCTCATGTATTTCTAGTAGCAAAGCAAATAAGAATGGATTGTGGATATTGGACCTGTTTAAGGTATATTGTGGGAAAAAAAAATAAAACAATTGTGTGTTAACTGTAATAATGTCAGTGAGAAGGATGGGATTCACGAACTCTTGAAGAAAATACCAGGTAAGGTCATGGCTACAGCAGCTGGCTTCAAGGTTTTTCTGTAATCCCATAATGAACTTCTCATGACTGGTTTTGTATAATATTCTAAAGATAATTCTTTTTCAACTTGAGTATGAACCTTCACATCTGTATACACTGAAGATGCTCTCAGTAAAAAGTAGAGTGGACAAACATTTGTATGAAGTCATAGTTTTATATATTAGATAGAGGCTTTTGCATTTTTATACCTGGACAACGGAGGAGGCAGCATAAACCATAATAAACCAGTCTGACAATACTCTACAGTAGCCGTGAGAGATCAGCTAGCATCCCTGCTGAAGTCCATAGCTGTGTTCACGCAAACTACGGTGCTTTTGCAATGTTTTACTGTTCAACTTGATTATTTTATTATTCTTTTCCAATTATATGTGTGCTGGTCTGTTTATGAATCTGTGGGTTGGTTTGCTTATGGATAGATGGTTATAACTACATAGTGTAATTAACTAAGAAGTGTTAGTTTTCTTCAAGACCATTGAGTATGTGGAACATTACACTGAACTTCCACATTTTCTGATGTTGCATTAAGTGCCTTTGTGTGTGATGTGAAAGCAGAAATTTGTCACGTCCAGAACGCAGTCGTGTGTGCGAGGGTCTGGCTTACATCGTTGAATATCCATGTCATGGCATGGAAACTCTGGCTCCTGCTTACAGCAAGGCTTCATGATTTGGGCTGTTTGTTTTATGACTTGCATGCAGAGAACAAATTTTCTCTTCGTGCAGAGTGCTGAAACATGGAAACATCCCTCGCAAAGAATACGAGGGATTCTTTTTTTGTGTACCCGGAGGATGCTGCTGGCTGCGGGGCAGGGGAGACCTCAGTGCACCAGGGTTTGATGTCAGAGGAAATCATTCATGCGTCTTGATCTTTGCACCGGTGTTTCTACCTAATCGGGAGTTTTCTACACTGAAGAGCTGTGGAAAGCAGTAACTCTTGCTCCAACTGTTGCATGGATTCTTCCTTTACCGCCCTTCCCTGGGAGAACAGAGATCTGTACATCTTCCCTGCTTGACTGGGAGCTCCCCCCTTGCTGCTCTGGTGGAGAGATACTGTTGGATTACAAGAATGAAAATTTCAGTACACGCTTGTAACGTCATCTGCCAAGATGTTGAGTTTATATCAAATGTTTAAACAAACGTTAGCAAAAAAGCTAACCCGAGCTGCTCCGTGACGTTTTATAGCCCTTCCTAGAAAAGACAAATTTTGGAAGTCACGTTAACCTCGGAAAGTGCCTTTGCAGAGTTTGCCGTTTCAGTTGACAGCCTGTTACAAGTTGCAGCTCTAACAGCTCCTTCCTGAATTCCGTCCTGCCTTCATCCCAGGGGAACCGCCCCCAGGAAGGACCGGCATTTGCCCCAGGCTGGGGGCGAGAGGAAGCCCTGTGCTTTCAGCAGCGCGGGTTCTGCTTGTTGTTTCTGGCTTCTCGAGAAGCTGAACCTGCCTCTCGTTTTCATAAATCGCTCTGGCTTCGGGCAACAGGGTTCTTGCTGTCAGATAGAAGTGAGCAAGTGTTTGAAACGCATTTAATGCCGGTGTCTGTTGGAGGTGACAAAAACTACACCAACTCGATTGGCGTAGGCAGGCAGTGGAGTTTGTAGCAAGTTATATCCCTTTCGCTCCCCTTGTCTCTGAACATTTGCCCTGTTCAGAAGCAATTCAAGTTACAAATTCTGGAACGTGTCACTGCGTTGCATTAAGTTCCAAGGCTTTAAAGAAGCTCCTCACCCCTGTAAGCTTGTAGCTTATTTGTTTTTCAGCTGTTGTTTCAGCATCCCTGACATGTAAAAGCAAACTTCCAATAAACTCCTGTCCCCTGATCGGTGAAACAAATGCCAGACGTTGTTGTTTTCCCCGGCTAATATTAAAAGCATTGGGAGTGAAGAAAATGCTCAGGCAGAAACAAAAATCCGCTCCAGAATGCCTGTGCTTGACTAGTGTATTAAGAGTTAACTCCGCAGCCTCGACGGTCTGAATCTCTTCCAGGTGACCGAGCGCAGCACTGTTTAGCTTCCTGCATTTGTCAGTGTGAAAATACGCGCTTGGGCTCCCTCGCCATTGTCCCGCTGCCGGGCGCCTTGCCGCGGTTTTGCTTCCTGAGCCGGAGAGCACCAGCCGCTCCTGCCAGTAGTGAATTGAAAAGCTCCAAACTCCTTCTCCTTCAGCACGTGTGCCCTGGGCCTGTCGAGAGATACTGGATAGCCACAGGGGCTGGGGGGTTTCGGTTTTGGTTTGTCTTGGTTTGTTTGTTTTTTTTTTTTTTAAAAGCCTTTTGGGATGATTTCTAAGTAGTCTGGGAATGGATGAGTTGGCGTGTTTGACTTTGCTGTTGATTTTTCTGTTTGCCTTCGGTCAGGTGATTTAGCCCTGGCTTTCTGCTTGTAACGCACAACAAATCACGCCGGGGAGGGTTGCAAGCGTGGCCGAGTGTTTGAGCAGCGTGGTGAAAGCGGTAGACGCTGAAGTGCTTGGTACCCGTTCAGTCACCCGATCTCACAAAGCTTGTCTCTTTGTCATAGGGAAGATCAGGGGAAAAAAAAATAGGTGAGGTTAGGTAGGGATTTTGTGGGTGTAGTGCGAGTAATTGGAGTGTCTGTTGCCTTCGTTTGGTCCCAAAAAGCAGAGCTGCTTGAGCAGTGACCCCCCGAGGGGTGTCTGCAGGGGAGAGGAGCTACTGCCCGTAGGCTTAAATTCGCTGTGCTGGTGCCTTGTAGGTCAGAAATCTCTAAAGATCACAAATGAAATAATAATGTAAAAAAAATAAAAAAAAATTGACAATTAATAATCTAAAGCCAAGCAGCACATGTTACTCCTGCTTCAGACAGGCTTTGCTGTGCAAGAGGATTGTGTCCGTCCAATTGATACTCAGTGTTGCAAAATTGTTTTCCTCTGAGATCGGTAGATTATTCTATTCCTATACTTATAATAGCCAGGAATGAAATCTCTTGCATGGTCCCTTTTTGTATAGCAATCTGTTTTCCTCGCCCGCTGGTACAATTTTGGAGATTCGCTGGTTTCTGAATGTATTTTTAACAATCTCGGTCTTCTAGATTTTTTTTCTGGAGTGGACAGTAGTGGAATGCTTTGGCCTAGCTTTTCCCTGGGGTGAAAAGTAATTCTTATTTTCAAAAGGAAAAATTAAAAGCTGTATTCTTGTTACTGCAGTCTAATCCTGTGTTACGAACCTTGCTGCTACTTCACGAAATCCAGGAGGAATTGAGCACTTTTTCCTAGACGCTGAACAATTTATCCTTTCTTTAAATGCAGTCGTAGAGGTGTCTGTCCTTACTGCGCTGCCGCGTAACAGCTGGGTTGCGGGGAACACTCCGTTTGCTTTGAGATTTGCGCTTAAGTCTGGAGATACATGCCTTTTTTTGTTTTTCTTTTCTTTTGCCTTTTTTTTTTAACAATGTGAGTTTGCAATTATGGCTTACAGTAACAGTGGGTAATCATCTTAGATGTGCTCTCTTTGAAACCATTTTCTCTCCTTTTTACTCCATCTCTTGTTCTCTTCCCACCCAGGCCTCCCAGTGGAGCATCCTCAGCTCTCTTCCCTCGTGCTGAAGAGCCCCCTGGGCTTGAACCCGGCGTTTCAGGTGAACTTGAACGCAGCTGGCCAGGGTTCATCTCCTCTTCTGAGCCCTGTCCTTAGCGATGCTGGCGGTGCCAGGATAGAAGAGGATGACGAAATGAAACGTAAGGTAAGATGACACGACTGGGAATTTACGTGATGAAAAAAGTGATGGTTTCAGGTGAGGAGCTGTGCTTTCTGGTCACTAAATGTTGATTGCATTATATTTTGTGGTAGAACAGATGTGCTTGGTGGTTAGCGTGGAAAACTGCAGTGCTGGAGGTTCGGTTGGGTCTGTTTATCTCACTGTTATGGCAGGAGTCCCCACTGCCCACTTGGCATAGGGGTGGTCTTGGCATCTGCGACAACCTCCTGCTTGGTGCCGGGACCACCTCCCACCGTCTGAGCAGGAACCGCTGTCAAGGGCCCCCGTGCGGTGGGGAGCTCTGCTCAAAATCTGCCTTTTGTACCCCAGAGTGGAAACGAGTTCAGATTATACATTAGGAAAAGGTTCTTCACTAAGAAGGTGGTCGGTCATCAGAACAGGCTCCGCAGGGATGTGGTCACGGCACCAAGCCTGTCATAGTTCAAGGGCAACACTCTTAGTCATATGATTTAGCGTCAGGCAGTCCTGCAAGGAGCCGGGAGTTGGCCTCGGTGATCCTTATGGGTCCCTTCCAACTTGAGATATTGTAAGAGACATGGCTTCCTGGGGTGAGCAGTTTGGGGGAAACAGTTGATACGTATTTGATGTAAAACGGTAGCGGTGTGCTTGGCGCCTTTTGGGCTGTAGCTATTATATCAGAATGTAGAAACCTCTTGTCTTTGTGCTGAGACTATGGAAAGGACACTCCAAAGCAGGTGAATTGTTCGAGGTGATTCTCGCCAGGGTGGTACGCTGAAAGGCTGTTGGGGGAGGTGGCTGTCAAGTCTGGAAATCGGTTGCCTTTGGCTCATTCAGTAATGAAAAATTGAGTCACGCAGTGGCATTGAACCTGACCTTGTCTGTGCTGAATACTGTCATGTTTAACCCGTGTCAGTTCACTGGACTGTGCTGTCTGTGTCATTAATAAAAACATATTCTGAAATAATTTAATTTACCAGCGTAGAGAATAGCACAGAGCTAACATTAGTTAATACATAAGGTGTGTTCTTAGGTTCCTTACTTTCCACACAGTCTCACTAGCGTCTTATTGGTCCATCTCACCATACGTTGGTCCTCCAAGCCATTCTTTCTAATCATAACAGGACCTTTGGAATGGTCCTGAGGGTTCTTCTCTCGTGTTGTAGAGGACCTGACCTCAACTTCAGCTTTTGTGTAGGGTCCTGCACCTAGGGAGGAATAACCCCAGGCACCAGTACAGGTTAGGGGTTGACCTGCTGGGAAGCAGCGCTGCAGAGAAGGACCTGGGAGTCCTGGTGGACAAGCTCTCCGTGACCAGCAGTGTGCCCTCGTGGCCAAGAAGGCCAGTGGTACCTGGGGGGCATTGAGAAGAGCGTGGCCAGCAGGGTGAGGGAGGTTCTCTTCCCCCTCTGCTCTGGTGAGGCCACACCTGGAGTTGGGTGTCCAGGTCTGGGCTCCCCAGTTCCAGACAGACAGGGAACTGCTGGTGAGAGTCCAGCGGAGGGCTGTGAGGATGAGGAGGGGACTGGAGCATCTCTGGTATGAGTGTCCTGGTTCTGGTGAGGATAGAGTTAATTTCCCAAGGAGCCAAGACAGGTGACCCAAGCTGGCCGGGGGCTATTCCATACCATGGGATGTCATGCTCACCATAAAAGGGGGCTGGTCAGGCAGGGGCGGGTTCGGGGTGGCTCCAGGACGGGCTGAGCAGTCAGGTCAGTCCGTCGTGGGTTCTCTGTTATCACCCATTGTTACTATCT